TATTACAATTAGCCAACCCGATGTCCATACAGGTGTCAAGAGACTACCGCAGTAGTAAGGATGGTAGACCAGAGTCTACTAAGTAGAGGTACTGTTAGTTAGATACCTCAGTTGGACATGTTAAACTATACTAAGAAGTACATAAGTACTAGTAAGGAGTAGTGGTTACACTACTAGGTAGGGTAATCTAAGTAGTCAATTTAGAAGTTATCCTAAATTACTTGACAGTGAGTCCGGGTAGAGTTATCCTACCTTCAGACTAGTGTTACCCTGCCTTGAGCTATGGGTTACCCTACTATGGAGCCAAGTTACCTTACCTTGAAAGTAAATAGTTATGTAGAACTTTGGAGGAAGTTGCAAGATTGTTTGTCACTCAAGACTACATGGGTTGTTCAAATGGCAGGTTGTGTAGATCACTTCCGCACACTCAGTTGACTTCTGAACATGCTGTAACTTTGAGGTATAGTAGCTATTATCTCCCTCCAGCCCCATCATAAGTTCCTCACATCATGGTCTACAGCCTAGAGAGTTGCCGTAAGTCTAGTAAAGGTCTACAAGTAGAGACACTCCTGTAACACTGTATATCCTCACCCTATTTATCGAATTAGACACTATCCGAGGAATCCATGAGTGGGTGGAGGTCAACATAGAAAATGGTCTCCCGGTAGTTCTGTACAAAGTGGACCAGAACTGACAGAGTAATACCACTTTGAAGTAAGAGGTAGTATGTGAGTTTACCAGAAGCCTATAGGCAAGGTAACCAAAGTCTGTTGACCCAAAAGTGTAATAGTATTAGAGGATCATTAAGAACTCTGAGACTCTAGTTTGAGGTGACAATGAGACCTCCTTCTAGGAGGGTTGTCTGTGGGTAGCGACTATTGGTAGTCAACATCTAAAGGAGTCAATCAGGGAAGCTATGTGGCCATTATCTGGAATGATATGGAATAGAGTAAAACCGGATAGATTTTCAGAGACTGTGGATGCTCGTAGAAGACTAAGTGTATATGGGTAGAGAGTTCCATAATTGGCATTGGATCTACTCAAACATATCAGCTCACCACAAACATGTCTGTAATAAGAAGAGCTTTTACTCCTGTATTTGCATTGTAGATATAGTGGCTAAACCACATCTGTCGGGTAAATGTTAGCAAACTACAGAGTAGTGTAGTTCACTACAGAGGATCTTTGGTCCCACCCATAGAGGTTGGCTAGACAGCTCAAGGAAGTTGAGTGCTGGTTAACCCAGAGTAGTGATGGAGAGCAACTGGCAGTATATGAAATCTACTTAAGTATATGCGAGTTCTCCTCTACTCTGGTAATCAACTACCTCTCAAGATCTGGACTTAATTGAGTAAAGCTGTAGCTTAACAATATTAAGTTTTACTGTTTTGTTTCTTTAAACTCTACTGTTGAGACTTTGACATTTATTATATTTGTTCTCATTCACAGAAGAATTCATTTCTGTACAGTCTTAACCTGGTGATACATCTTCCCCAAAGTATTTCCCATTATACCACCCTACCTAGGGCAGTGCCAACCCAGTCCATCCTATCCAAGGATGAGACAACTCTCATCTTTTGTTATTCTAGCCACATCTTGAATAGACAGGACTGCTGAGTGTACTGACTACTACCTCATACTAGTAGCTAAGTACCTCTAGTTTGGTAAGGCAAGTCTGATTAAGGAATCATAAAAACTCAAATAAACGGACCATGTGCTATGAAGTCAAATTAACGTGAATTATACTAAGCCTATTCATCACCTAAGATACAATATTAGTCTCAGAATTTCTTGACAACGATTCACTATAGATTTCAGCTTCATCTTCGCCCTCATCCAACACTACAGGATCATTCTCATTATCTACAACACTCCCCCTTTCCCAACTTCTTAACTCTTCAGTAAGAGAACCTGTCTCCATTTTCTTTATCGAAATCTCTTGATCCACTGACCTGTCTATAAGAATTGAAAGATTAGCTACTTGGAAAGCTTTCTTCACCACTTCTACCTTCATCTCTGAAAACTGTAGCTATGCCTCTCCCACAGCCTAAGTTACAGCTATTTGCCGCCACCCAACTTTGCTTCCTGGTAACCTACTCCCTCCTCTTACTATATCTTCCTCCTCTTGTTCAATTGCGTCTAGCTTTATTTCTAATAATTCCTAACTACAGATACAAAAGTTAGTATATACTTTCTAAATTTTTTAGGCCTACAAATACATAAACTGGTAAGAACTGGCTGATACTAGTAGGTTCAAATAAGATTTTTATCCAAGTTTTGTCTTGAAATCAAAAGAAGATACTATGGGCCTGGAGTTACCTCTTTAAGCTAGGCTGCAGCAAGTTAAGACTCTTGTTTTGACACAATTGTAGGTTTCACCTCAGTCACTTCTTATTTCAAGAAAGAAATTGGTGTTAGGAGCTGACTCTTGCCTATATATGGCAAGTGATAATGGTAAGTACTTCCCGCAAGCTCCTACTCCAAAGATTATGATTAGGAATTTTACTAACCTCTAAAACATCTTTAAAAGGTCTGCTTATTGAAATATCTAGAGGTTGCACAAGCCCAGTGCAACCTCCAAAGATAACGCTTGGTGTGATATCATTGGCTTTCATGGTATCTAGCACCTTATCTGTTTTGTGGCAGCTGAATAAGTCAAGAGCTAATAAGGTCAGTTTATCTCCCAATACAAGTACCAATTACTTGTCGAGCCATTCCACCATATTCTGACTGTTTGTATAGGCTATGAGATTAAAATTAATGATTACTCGCTGATTGTATTCTCTTAGTTCAGTCTGGATCACAGATCCTATCCCCTTTCCTCAAAGAAAATTCCCAATTTGACTCTCGGCACTCTGTCAGTGAAAATGGTGAGTGGAATCATTCCTTACTACTTGTCCCGCCCAGAAGACTAACTTAACTACATCTAGATTGTTATCTCTTCAGTGCTATTGTAAGTTTGTCCTTCTATATACTCGTAAGAAACAGGTGTCTGATCCATATTACAAATATTACTAAGCTGATATCATCTAAGAGTAGCAGGTTCAGCTCCCGAACTGTTTTCACTTCCTAGCTGTATTTGTGAATTCTGCTGATTGAGTTGCATCTAGCTAAGTATTGTATCTCTAAAGTTAGTTGGAAGCTTACTTACTTTGTTGGTTATTGCATGAAGACTAATATGATGTCATGATAGAAATTCCCAAAACCAGCCATTCGAGAAGCAAAGAAGGTTTAACTCCACTATCCCATAGTGCTTTTATATTAGTTCCTTAGTAACATGTCAAAACCAACTTTTCTGCACAGGTCTCTCTATTTCCTGTCACTGTCAGAATTCCTCATACAATTCCTTCTCTATCTCCTTCCATTTTCTTTGTCTTTTCCATCCAAGAATCCTTTACTGAGTCCCCTTTACCACTAGATAATAACCTGCCTCTTTCTCTTTTTGTTATCAGAAAAGGTTTGTTGTTGGAATTCGAAAGCGGTCTGCCACCTCAGCTCGTGTTGGTTGATGAAAACAGCTTGGACTATGCAGTATGCAGTTTGCTTTCCAATAGCATAGTACTAGAAGTTTATAATTAACAGTATAGGATCAATGTCAGTTATTTGTCAGCTGTTGAGGCTTTCAGAGAGCTTTGGATAAGGATTTATGCTTTAGGCCAGGTTTTCTTTTTGAATGGCCACATAAAATCTCTCAGTTAGGAGTGGTAGAAGATTGGGTTTGATATGAATTCGTCCTGCTGTCTGGTGGGATACTCTTGAAGACATAGTTCAAGGCTGTTGATTCATACTCAACTCAGTTGTTGAAATACTTGTATTGTTCTATACCGCTTGGGCAATTGCACTTCTCTTCTTTCCTTCTTTTTATTTACACTATACTCTATGACTTTATACTTGATATCCAGAAAATCAGGTTTTTTTCATTATTTTTCAGAGTTGGTATTGTAAATACACATCTTTCCTTCTCGTGAGATTTACTCTCAGTTTCCATGACATTAAAATCATTAGTTGTCTCACTCTGCTAATTTACCTGAGACATTAATTTCCGAAATCCCGTGTTCCAAACTCTAAATCGACTCCCCAGCACATGGTCCGTTTATTTCAGTTTCTACAGTACCTACTCAACAGTACCTCTACTCTGTAGACTCTTGTCTACTACTATTCCTATTACAGTAGTCTCTTGATACCACTATGAGTATTAGTTTAGCTAATTGTAATAACACTCCATGGAGTCTCATTACAGATATATGCAGCCTTTCCTTTACTCTGACAATCAACTACCTCTTAGGACTAAGGAACTGGTTGGATGAAGTTGTAGGCTTAATAATATTGAGGTTTTCCTTTTATTTCTTCAACTCTACTGTTAAGACATTGAGATCTTTATTTATTTTTACTGTTTGGGGAATATATTTCATTGTGGTAGTACTCTCGGGATCTATCTTCTGATAGGGAGACATGTTACATATACATTGATGTTGACCTAAAGTTGCAAACTGTATCAAGCTTTAACATTTCCTATATAAAATTCTTGGACCTTGTACTAAGACCGGTATAATAACTCTGTTTTTCTTAACACCTCCTCATCTAGTTTGGAAGATGAGTCATAGGAATTTGAAATTAAAAATTTAAAAAATTCTTTCATCATAAAAATCAAGGTTCAGTAAGAATTGTTTCACTAGATCATTGGCAGAAAAGGTTCTGAACATGGCTATTTTCAGTGGAAAACCTTTGCAATGCTCGTCATTTTTGACACCATCCTCATACTGCGCTTGGTATTGCCGTGTTGTTCATATGATATATCATACTTGGTAGCTGCTCCAAGATGCCATTATATTCAAAGGTCATCGGTTTGGAATTTTCATGTGGTCTCGCCATTTAGTAGAGAAACCAGACGATCACATTTTCCGATTTTCGATGACCTCCCTCGGACATACCGAGTTAGACTATGTAAATCCCCCTACCTAGAACAGTCATTGGAATTTGAAAGAGAAGCGATCGGCGGCGCCGACTACCATCAGAATTATTACGGAAGGCTATTATAATACAGTGCTGAAAAGGGTCTAAGAAATTAGGGAGTTGTAGTGCCCGCACGCCCAACCGGGCGAAGAAAAAAAGACAGTAGGGCTGGTAACTTAAGGTGCTATAAAATGCAAAACCACTTATATCGAATAGGTGAGAAGGAAGGTCTTGCCCGGACAAAATTATGACACAATGAAACAGAAACGGCTAACTTAGCCCAACACTAAGCCTCCCTGAGCATCCTAAAATGTTTGAATTATCTTAACAGCTGATGTCCACAATGAAGGTCAATCCGACCCAGCCAGCAGATCAACAACCACGTTAATCACAGCAACCAGAATCTCCGCCGCAATAAGTACGATAACAATCCACTCCAGGTGTTCCCCCTGCGAGTGAGACATTTGCTCCTTGAGCATTTGCAGCTATATTAAAAAGTTAAAGTTGGTTAGCATCAAATTGGCCGGGGGGGTGGGATTTAGGATACCAAATCTCCAATGACGTCTAGTCGTTGGTTTAGTAATGAAACGCGCTGGTTGATTTCTAGGTATGAGCGCGCGGCTTGGTAGACGGGGTCTAATTGGGGTTCCTGGCTTGTTTGTTAGACTTTTTTTCATTTTCTTCCGGTATGTGGGGGAGGGGGAAAGTGACGTACAGCCCACATCAATTCCGGTGAGTCCAGAACGCTGAATTGGAGGTTTATGTTGATTCTTAGGATGAAGAGTTCGCCTATGTGCTTCATTATATCCCGACGGCTCATATTGACCTTTCCAGTCGTGGCGACGTCTTGGGGGATTGATTTTGTGTCTTCTATTGTGTTATCGACTAGGTCTTCGAAGAGGGATATCTATTATTGTTTCCCACAAAGGTTAGAAGAAACCCAATATCCCGCGTTTGAATGGAGGCACACGAAGGGTTATTTCTGTCTACCTTTACGGATTGAGCGATAGCATGACTGATGCTTAGCTTGATCATGTAATTCCCGCCATCCTTCAGCGTGATAAAGTCATTATAGATCCGGGGTTGATAAGAGCTGGTAACATAATAATTGAAATTCTCAACCTGGACGTCGTCCTCGCCCAACTTCTCGCTCTCGAATTTCGCAATGTCCTTTAGGAAGCGTTTCTCATCCCTCATGCTCATTCCCCATATCACGACGACGCCGTACTGGAAAAGGAACACCTCCGAGCTCTCGACTGAGCGGTTCTGCGCCGTCACGAAATTGAATAGCGATTGATCGTCTTGCTCGTCCATCCCCATTTCATTCCCGTCTCCAGCAGCACCTGTACCAATTCCCTCGCCGTGACCCCCAACAACGTCCAAAGGCCCCACTGAACCCCCCGGATCGATCAAATCCCCACTCTGCCCGTGTCGCTGCCCCTGCTGTTGTTGCTCCCGCTGCCTTGCCTCATAGGTGTAAGAAAACGGGGTGTAAATGCATTCATCAAACTGCTTCGGCGCGGTCCCACGACTCGTCTGCCGGGATTTGAGAAACTTCATCATGCTCTCCATCTTGTAAGCGTTGGCCGTAGCGTAGGCTGTGACTCTGGGCAAGTGCGCTCTTTCGGCTTTTCCTAAGCGCTCCGCGTCTCGACGAGCAGTTGTGTCCTTAATGCGGGTGACCTGGGAGTATACATCGCGGCCGGATTCCTCGTCTTGATCCGCTGGCGAGGGGAGGATCTTGAGTTTTTGAGAGACCTTGGAGGTACGTTGGGGGCCGATCTTGGCTGTGTGTGGTTGCGAGTAGGGGGGATGTTGACCATGTATTGATGAAGAGCGACGGCGACCTTTGGGAAGGTTTGTGGGGGTTAATTGCGGTGAGTTGGAGGCCCTGGCGGGGAGTAATGGAGGTGTTAGTGTTGCGGCTGACATTGTTGCGCTGGACGCTGAGGCACTGGATGCGACTACCGCTCGAGTGGAAGGTGTGGGCGTTGGTATTGACATGGTAGCCATAAGGCAAGTGTGTTGAATAATAGATTTACAATTATTAAGAGCTATAAGGAAAAGGTTTGGGCTTCCATAGGTGCAGAAGTTTGGAAAGTAGTCAGAGGAGAAGAATGGCTACGCTTCACCAAGTTTGCTCTTCTGTGGACGCTGGCGGGAAATGAAGTTCAGACGCTACCAGCCGAACTGGCTCACTTGGTGTTACCCGGTCGACTCCTCCCTCACACACGCCAACTTGGAACTCCAGAGATTGAAATTCATGGGATTCAGAATCCACGGATCGCGGTCTCGGGATTTCAGTTAAATTATTGCTGGAGCTTTTAAAGTCAAACCGGGGATGTGACAGGGATTGAAACCTCAAAGAAGCGGTCATCCAAGCACGCCCAATCTCGTGATTCTGGAAAATTGCCAATTGCTAAGAAACTCCAGTCTTGAGAATCTTATGGCATCCAAACAGGCACCAAGTTGGACTCACTCGGACTCACTCGGATCACGTGCTCACAGCAAACTTCTCATCCTATCTATTTTGCATTTTGCAAACTGAGTTATGGTGGGATGGGTCTTAGATTTTGGTGTTTGTTTGCTGACCAGCGCCAAAACTTGATTCAAGCAAGAGTAGCAGATCGGGTCCCATGGAAAAAAGCTTTAACTTATAATACAAAAGTTGTAGATAGGAATATCCTCCGAGCGTTGTTGTGATGGCCAAGCCTGGAAATCGCCAGTACAATAGGGGGCTAGGTGAAAGCAACAGGGCCAAAGAAAGCAGAAAGAGGAATTAAGCGTACAAGGAGAGTTTATGCAGATGCAATTTTCGCTGAAAACAGACCCGACGCCATCATACACAAAATTGTCAGCACCGAGGATCGATCACCTGTTTACAGCTGTGAATCCACCTCCGCTTCCATCGCCTTGCGATTGGACCGCAGCATCTTCCTGCTCGTCATCGTTGATGCTACCTGGTGCCGGGCTCAACGGTGCCTCGAAAGAGGCCGCAACCACAGAAGATGCAGCAGAAACAGCCCTCCCCCCTCTCTTCCAGGAGCCTCCATTCCCGCCAATGGAGCTCTTGTCAGCATCAGTTTTTAGGTCGTTAACTTTTTCTAGGTACTTTTCTCTGTTTTTTTCGTATTCGTTGAAATATGGTTTTTGGCCTTCAGCTTTGAGATCTCTCCAAGCCTGAGCCAAGGCCTTGTGCATGTCGAAACCGTCCTTCTTAGACTCACGCTCTCTTACTGCATCCCGTTCCTTTTCGCAAAAACTTACATCATGTCAGCAAGTGCTTTTCAAGGTTTCTCAGAGGCGGTTCCTAGCTAGTGTATACATACATCATGTAGGCATTGGGAGGTCTCTTGGGTCCACCCTTGCTCCTGGAACCCTTTCCGGTCTTGGGAGGCACGCTTGGCGGGATGCTAAGCTGACTAGGACCTGGAGAGTCGGCATTATCAGTGGGAGCTGAGTTGAATGCAGTAGAAACGAAAGTGTAATCTTGACCATCCCTCGAGGGAGAAGGCGACGCCTGGCGCATAGGGGAATCCATAGGAGGTGGATCTTTACGGGCACGCTTAGTGCGGAGAGGTTTGTCCTTGGGCTAAATATTATCCAAGGGTAAAATTAGCGAGCTCCCGAAGTGACTAGCTACCTTCAATTATGTGTTTTATAGAGTGCAGAAATAAGCAGGGAAGAAAGAAAAAAGAGCGAGAAAGAGAGCTTACAGTGGGAGGAGGACTTGGACTTCCTTCAGAATCGTCAACCCTGGGATCAGTTCGTTGCTCTAATTGTTGAAGTAGGAAAGCGCGCTCCAATCTCATGCGCTGGATTCCACGCTCAGCTCTCTGCATGCGCACGACGAGAACGTCATTAGAAGTTTCTATCTCTTTGATACGTTTCTTCAAGTCGATGCACTTTTGGCGATAGGACTCCTCAACCGAGGCCGGAAGAGGCGGGGTGGGGCCCACAACAGGCGATTTTGCTGAAATTAATTGTTAGCAAATTTAAACGAGGCTCCGGGAATTGTAATTATGTACTATGAGGATCGCGCTTATGCTCCTTCGGCATCGCGACGCAGTTGAAGGAGCTGGCAGTAGGCGATGAACAAACCGGGGCGCGAACCGTAGACCGTTGATATTCGGTGGTGAGAGGAAAGTTGTGCTGATGAAAGGGAAGGCTGGGGTTGTGAGGAGGAGAGAGAAAAAAAAGGGTGAGGAGAGCAAACAGGCGAGGTGGTTGATCTTTAGCTTTTTCTATGGCTGTCTTTATTTTCTGGTTGTTTAGAGGGAAGGTAGGGGGACAACTGGATGAAGCAATGGGGCTGCAGCGCACACACCCCCCAAAAAATTTCTATTCAAGTGCTGTACTCCAAATAGTGGTTAGACTACATTAAAAAGGAGGAACAACGGCACCTCCACCCATTTACACCCATTTACACCTTGCCCCCTTCAACTTTCCATACAGCTTCATCATTTTACACTGACTTCTACAGCTTACACTTCTAGCGATACCTATTTTTCTCCCCTGTACCACCAGTGCACTATCCCTTCACGCATAAATTACTTCTTAGTACTCGTACTGTACTCGTGCAAGCAGAGGCAACATCATAGTACCCCAGTATACAACTCTGGGATAAATTCACGCATAAATAGAAAGGGAAAAATGTGAAGAACGGAAAAATAAAAATAGCATCACGAAGTATTCAACCGGTCGCTGGTACTCGAGTACTATCTTACCATTATCGTAGCTTTGTCTAATGTGCAGTACTAAAAACTGTATTACTTGACCATGGGGAACCAAGTCACCTTGATAAAACAGATGCAAACGAGGGCGAGTATCATAACCGAACAGAATTAAACTGTGCGATGTAACTACCAGCGCAAATACCAACGTGATAGCCCATCCCTATGCGCCAGATAACTCTCGCTTTCCTCTTGGTAGCAAGTAGCGATCAATGGTAACGAGAAAAAGAGTAGAAAAACGAGCACATTCTAATGAATGAATGAGAAACAGCAAAACAATATACTCTCCCCAAACTTTTGGAACAAAAGAAAACCCAATTTGCCTCTCCCTTCTTCACTTTACCCCTCTTACCCTACCGCTCTGCCCCATAAATTGATCACCGTAAATCCGTTGTAACAGCCAGCTAAACAAACCACCAGGAACTTATACGAAACCCTTATCAGATTCAGCATACAGATGAGGGCGACTATCATCAAGGCTCATACGGGGGGACGAGTACTCTATGGCTGGGGACGAGGGCTCGGACGACTGGATCTCAACCGACTCGGCCTTGCTAACTGATGCCGATTCTCGGTCCTCATAGTCCTCGACTTCCGGGAAAACCAATTCGGCATGGGTGATCCAGACTTTGACCATTGTTTGATAAAGGCCCAAGTCCGGAGATACACCGAGTGGCATATTTAAAGAGCCAGGAGAAAGCCCCATACCAAACACTATCGCAAGATTGACTGCATGCATCTTGTTGATCGCTGCATTGGTTGCAATTCTATAGAGCAGTTAGTGCTTATCGCTTACTCTCGTTGAAAGGAACACACCTCGCAAAATGTGTGTAAACACGACGGAGAAAGTTATAATTATTAACGGGCAATCGAAGCATGATCTCTCGAAAAGCAAGCGCCCGTTGATCATCATCCGTAATATCAGCTATCTCATGTGAGTTTTTTGTCAATTCAAAGCTTAGCAATGAGAACATACAAGTTATGTTCCTAAGTTCGTACAAAGCTTCATCGCCAAGAGCTTTGTCCGGGAGCTCGCGCATGAGAAGCTTGAATGCACCCGCAATGGCATTGATATCGTACCACCTATCATCATCCATTCTTACCTCTTCCCCAGAATCAAGAGCGTTTTTTAGGGCATTGATGCTTGAGAGGGACCCGGGCACACGGTAGATGCCAACCTCGTCGATGCCTGGTGATATCCTCATTAGCTCTCACACCATGTGGTAACCAGTTTGCCTAAAACTAACCTCGGGTCTCAATTTCAGATAGCAAAGCCTCAACCACAATAGGCACCTTCACATGGTCCCTCCGACACAAGTCGTCCAAAGAAACACCAAACACAGGCTGAGGCACACGGTTCTGGGACACAACAGTAAGGCCATCGATGGACTCCGTAGTGTCAGTGGCGTTGATACCTCGGATACTCGCGATTGTCCTCAGCCATCCCTCCAAGTCTTTCTCAGACAGGGCCTGGAAAAGGTATGAGACCCCTTGATCTGTGCGAACTTTCCATATGTGCCTATCACGAGTTGTCTTGGGGCAAGAAACCGAAGCCACGCTAGCCAAGTCAATGGTAATTGACGGTTTTTTCCCGTGTTCAATAGCTTTCAACGCGGGTAAGTCCGTAGGAGCGACCGTTCGTGCAGAAGATTGAGGAGGAGTCCACCCAGTCAATGCCATTGAGATTGGCCTTACGGCTCTAAAGATGGAATTTACACCTAGTCTCTTATTACTCTTCTTATCAGCAGGTTGAGGGTTCGGAGCAGTGGGTTGCCGGCGGTGTTCTGCACGGAGTTGTTGGCGCTGCTGTCTCTCAATCGCATCGCGTTGCTTCGCATCGCGCCTAAGCTTCTCTTGTTCATGGTGAAGTAACTTCCAGAACACCTTGACCCTGCTTTGTCTGATAGGATGATTTTCCTTAGCAGCCAATTCCCTTAAGGTTCGCATTTCTGGAAGACGAAGATATGATAACGAAACGTCTGTGCAGACCGAAAGGTGTTCATCAACTGACTTCTCAGAGCCGACATGTGTGAAGTTATTGACAAAGTTGTAGACATAACGGCGTTTATCAAAGTTGATCAAACGATTGTTCTCGACAACCATGTTTGGCACGTAGCATACAATCTCAAGTAGCCTCTCGATTATCCATCCCACACAGGGAGTAAGAGGCTTTGAGGATCGTATTCCCTCAAGCTCCTCAACGATGACCTGTTCGAGGGTGTCGATTTGAGTTACTGCTCCGGCCGTCATTCTTACCCCCATCATCCAAGCATAACTAAAGACTCGACTCTCCGGCCTGGTAAGCGCTGCTGCAATTACGCTAGCAACAAAAGACGGAACTTGCTGCCGGGCCCCGCCTCTGGTGTCCTCATAGAGATCCATTCCTGACATGCGCTTTCGAGATATTGTCAGACATCTGAGAAGTGTTGCAATACGGTGGGCTCTTCGATCGGCATTCAGTTGGGGATCCACGATCTGCGCAAGAACCCATCCGGTAATGTCCGAACGCAGATTACAAAGCTCTCGCAAGGGCCTTGGCAATGTCTCGAGAAGAGTGACAGCTAAATTACCCCGTCTAACATTTCTCAGTACGAAGAAGATATCTTGAAGGACTTCGTCATCATCATGAAAGAGAAGTGCGACCTTAGGCACAAAAAACCCGAGAGATTCAGAGCTCTGCGTCTCAAATATCTCAAACGCCGTCATCCAGTCAACAAGTTTGACCATCCTGAATGACTCCAGGACTTTCGCTTCTAATGAGTTGACAAAGCCCTCAATAGCTGGTATATCAGTCAAGGGCGGGATCTGGAGACTCCCACGTGGCGAACTCATCCGCTGAGTCGGGTAGCGTAAGGGCAAGAAATTGAGGTTGGAGAACTTCCCTCTAACATCATACCAAAGACTATTGATCTGGTCCGCCTGTCTGCGGAGGTATCCATGTTCTGGTCCTAGATGCTTCCAGTATGCGAGCTCCTTTGACGCAATAGCTAGAAAGGACATGAAAGAGTCTCCGAGCGACTGATCGCAGTGGAAATCAATAAAGAACTCCGATATCCAGGTGTTCACCGCCTCAAGAATCCCCATATGAATTTTGGCTACGAGGTTCCAATCGATAGACTCGTCACTAACATGGTCTACCCCCGTCCAATCCGGAAATACAACATCATCACTCTCGTTGTCTGAAATTGTAGCTGCCGATTTGGAACCCAGTAAGCGCTTCTTAAGATAATCAATTAAGACAATAGGGGAGCAGTAACTAAAATCAAATCAGTATTAATCTAGATTATGTGTGACCACACAGGGCAGATAGTGCGGCCAAACATACCTGCGGAACGTAGCAAAGAAAGTAATCGTAAATACATCCATATTCATTCGGAGCAAAGGCGCATTCTCAGCAGTGAACACCGGATCCGACCCATTCATTCGTCTGCTGAAGTCCTCCACACCCAAAACAAGGATGTCTACCAATCGCTCGAGAGTCCCTCCCTTAGGAACCACAGGCAAGCAGCGGCGGTTATCCAGAGCAAATTCCTCACGAGCAGGCGTGGGTGGCATGCTACCATCTAATTGCTCGGGCATACGGGGAGATGCGGTATCACCGTAAAATTGGGCAGATATTCTTCTGGACGCACCGCTTACTCTCTTAGATGTCGTTTCTATCACGCTCGAAGGCCTGGAAGTAATGGCATCATCCGTGATTGATTTCAGGACCAATTCGCCATCCTTAGAATAAAAAAGCTGTTGCCCTACACCCGCAACATCTCTAATCGCACGAAGCATCGCATTGTCCCCACCGTGCAAGCCTGCTGTACGTTCTCGGGTCGTAAAATCCAATTCATCATACCCAGTCGTTTGAGCAGTATCTTTTGCTGGTGGGAAAGACCGTGTCCTCCTAAGTGATGGTTGATGGGATGAGGAGGCCGGCGGGCGCAGATTCTGGTTAGAGTGAGAGGGCCCAGGCTGGTTATGATGATGGTGGTGGTGATGATGATGTGTCTGCTGTCCCCCGGGGCCGTAACTAGGTGATGCCAATCCAGAACTTGGTGTCTTTTTATGGAGGGAGCCTGAGATCGCTAGGGCGTCATTTCTTGCGAAGAGTGAGAAGCTGGGGAGTACATCCGTGAACACAAGCGGCACATTCGCGCCTGTGCTCAGAGGGAGACGTTGGTGATAATGTGATAGTAGATAGGCCCCGGTCGAGGATGGTTCACAGGCTAGGGACATATCGAAAGATGCCGTTGAATTTGTGGAAGGAGGATTCGTGTTGCTTAGATTGAGAGCACTCAAGCACTTCTGCAGCTGTTCCACCTCTTTCGGAGCTCTAGTTCCCCCTGCTTTGAAATGCGGCCTATTGTTGACCCATTCTACTTTCCAATTCCTCAAGGCTCTCGAAATAGCGTCCGTCGCCTGAACGAATTTAGGATATTCAACATTTCGGACTCGACTCTCGTATGCTTCGTCCATGCAATGGCACAGGTCCCCAAAATAGGGTACAACTTCCTCAAAGGATATCTCCTCCCTGCCATCCTCGGGAACCAATATGCAGCCTTCGCAGTTACTCTCGCCCTCCTCCAACCGCCTTCGTTCCAGAACTCGCATAAGACTTGCGCAATATTCTATATCCCCAAACAAAGAATCTTCAACTAAGCTCCAGGTTTCCCTCAAACGCAAGATTGGTCGCGAAAGAACGGCCATCATTATTGCCATGCATCCAGCCATATCACCCCTCTTCCGTAACAAATTGGCAACCTTCAGCCACTGGGAAAGAACGGATGCACGGCGATCTACAGACGAGGCTGAATCTCCAGCTAAAATCTGGGATAACACCCTATCCCCAAGGAAATGCATATTGGAAGTTGTGAATATCAAAGGGTTACGATGCACGGGTGGTGGCAAGTGAGGTGAGGCAAGTAAGAGGGAGATATCGTTCTCGGGATTCCATACTCTCAGGTACCTCAAATGGAACAAGTGAACCTGTGTGGCGAATATCTCTGGGTTAACCCGCATGAACTCGTCGGTGGTAAGATTTGTTGACAGTGTGCTAAAGGCATCCGGATGCGGGCTAGACGGTTCTATCAAACGGTGAGTAAAGTACTAAAACACAAAACCGACCAGCTAACCTTTATTGGAATTACTTAGTAGGCTCAGCTCCCCCTGTAAACTTGCGGCTCTAGCTTCAATTCCCGCCCTGAGATCTCTAGCAAGTCCTGGGCTATGTGGGGTGATTCCCTTCTCGGTCAAAAGTCTAGCAGTATTGTAGCAACCGGGCTCCAGGAGTAACCCAGGGGCAGAATCCACCAATAAGGTCAAGACGTGTGAAATCCTAGGGGACAAGTCCTTCAAAGTTGAGAGCTCGGTCAAAACCGACAAAGCTGTCTCCGGACTCGTCCACGCAGGTAAGGTCCTAGTCGCCCCTTGCACAAAATCATCGTTCTCCGTAAACATAAGTTCATGGCACAAGGCTTCTACAGTTCCTGCTTTAATCCTTCCGTGGTCGTCATCAACGATCTCTGGGTGTCTGGAGGTACTCTTGTGGCGTAAGGCGGAGACGTTAAACGTAGGGGACGCAGTTGCCGGGGCACTCTGCGGTCTGGGAGGACTCAATGGGACTGCGTTTAAATCAAAGGCTCTGATTTGAAGGTTAGATGAAGGTTTGTACAACGCGAGGTGTCCACCAGTTATCACGGCATGCTGCAACTTCCAGGCTTCTCGGAGGGGACCCCTCTTAACTGATAAAGAATCAATCATATTAATCCATCCCTCCTTCACAATTTGGTATTTAGGAAAGTGCTCTCCATGCTGCATAACAGAAATCGAGGGAACGCTTCCACTCTCAATTGGTCTGAGTCGGGGCGAAGAATCAGGTGCGCCTTTTCTCCTCCCTTCAGGTAGCGGGTTTAACGGTCCATTGCCACCTCTCCTTGGAGAGGGCTCCCTGTTCGGTGGAGACCTCCCTCGGGAAAAAATATTTCCCAGATCGTTCATTGATCTTGATATAGTTCGGTAATGAGTGTTGAAGGAATTTGGGGCAAGCTTCTTCGGCCTGTTGGATGCGAGACTAGGGGATTGGGGGATAGAGATAGGCTCCGTTCTAAGATCGTCGCTTCCCGCTCCGGGTGGAAAGTTGCTTCCCATTGTTGGAGATGACAAGGTCGGGCTCTTTGCTTCTCCGCCCTTTTTAGACTTGTTGAAAAAGGTGGTCGTCAGCGTATGGGGGACTTTTCGGCCGGCAGGGGACTTCCGCCCATCATTATATTGGGGTGGGGGGGCCATTGGGATAATTCCCGACAAGGGTCAAATCAATTCGGAGAATATTATTACACGGCGCGCAGGGTAGTTGGGCTCGCAGGAAGTTGCAGGAACTGATTTGGGACCTGCCGACAGGAACGAAATCAGCGTCTCCGAGGTGTTTGAACAACCTTCATGCGGACAAGGAGTTTTTTTTGGGGGGGGTTAAGGGCTAGGAGCGGCCCAGATAGTAATGGGTCAGATGGCTTGTAATTTCTTCTTGCTCCCCTCTCTCCGTGTTCCCCTTACACTGGGGTTTGGTTCCTATACGGCTCACTTGACTGTCCTCTTTCTCGCCTCCTGGTCTCGTACTGGCCCCCGCGACTCTCTTTCGTTCTTGTTGTATCGTCTCTAATAGTGTTCCGACTCCCCCCTTCTTTTTCTTTTCCTATCCAATCCTTTTCCTTCACCCTTTATCTCGATTATAAGGTCCAGTTCACCACCCGACGGGTAGCAAACAACAACCCGAAATTTAATCGACCAGCTTTATGGGCGTATAGAAGACTGTATGCGGGGATGATGAAGGCTTTTTTTTTTAGAAGCGATACGCAGGCAGGTGGAGGGGCAGTGGCCATAGGAGGTACTCACATACAAGCAGGGTATTACGTTGGAACTCACCGCCTGAGAAGCATGACGAAAAGTAAGAAGAACAGATGTGAAGACCAAGGCACTTCGATAGGAGCAGCAGAACTAAGCAATGGAAGATGCGCGTGGGGGCAGCTAGGTTGAAGGAGGAGGAGGGAAGGAGGGAGGGAAAGTAGTAGCCGCAGACGCTGAGAGGAAGGGGAAGCAAGAGAAAAAGCGAGCCCAATGACGCAGGGTGGAATTGACAACGGTATCAGCAGAAGCAACACCAGCAGGGGCGCAGAAGCAGAAAATTGGCTCTCTCTCTCTCTCGCTCTCTCTCATCACCAGTTGGCAAAAGGTCGAAAGCGGCTGTATGTGTGTGTACGATACCGGAGGACCCAGGGGGAGTAGCTTACCGCCGTGACATGGAGTACGGGTACACGTTCACCAAGGTACCGGTCCTTAACTCCCATGTTCCTTCCTCTTCGCATCGGATCCAGGGCCGGCCACCTGCCCAGCATTCGCATTCCGGCTCCAATCGCAGGGTCAATTCTTTTTTACATTAACACGGACAATATAAATCCAATCGCCCCATTTACACTCTTGGACTACCGAGTTGAGAGGGTTTTAGAAGAGACAATAGATTCGAGGAGGGGGAAAGGAAAATTGTCCACCGTTCGTCTCTAGAACCAACAGTTCCACTAATCGTGGAACCTATGCGGTAAAGTACGGTACGGTAGACCTTTACCCGCTCCTGAAAGTGCGAAGCTTTTATACAATACCAGTCATTATACCAATACCAAAATCCTTGCACCGGTCCCTAACACGATGGGCTAATAGATAGCCGAATTTATCCACAAGAAGTGCCGTATTCAAAAAGTCATCTCGCGACGAGCCCGTCGGATGACTCCATTTGTCTACAGGAAAAGTACTCGAGTACTCTACTAATCCCTTGAGAGGAATGGAGGGGGGGGGACAATAGAGGCGCACAGAATCATATCACAAGTTGAGTTAACCCACTAATACGACACCCCAACTCGTCAAAGACGGCGTTTCCATGAGCGCCCGTCCCCTTCCAACCGAGAAGCGATTATCTGATTAGATATAAACTATCCCTCGCACTGTAACTTAGAACCGCAGAGGACTCGTACAGTATCATACCTAGTTAGCACCGATACCGGTACCCAAATGCTAGTACCCTACAAGTATCGTATTCGAGTAATGGATAATAACACAAGCTCCGTCTCCTTTAGAACCACAATCAAAGAAAGAATCATACCTTGTTTTCGCCAAGACCTCTGTTCATTGGTTGAAACCTTTTTCTCACACCATTCTTTTACCACACTAGTGGAAGGAACTTTCATATATGGATTTTGCAGCTCCTATTCTTTCATCTTGCTTACATTGTAAAAGGAACAAGCTTGTAAGGGAATTATCTGAACATATTGGATTTGAATCTTCCACTACAGCAGAGGGCTGCTAGTCACAATTGCCTAAAATAGAATGCTATACAATACGAGTTTGATAGGATAAAAGGAGTATTGTAGGATGTTCACAAGGTGCTAATCACGTTTCAAGGTAAGATACAATAGTTGACAGGTAATCTGCTCTACCACAGAGGAGACAAGTAGTGCGGACTAAAGAAGACTTCAAAGGTGTATTGGGAAAACTAAAGAGTAACTGTTCAATCAAGTATGTTGAAATACTGTCTGTCAAAGTCTGCCTTTTCCATCGTGGAATCAGGCAGTCTTTAAATACACAAATCTCTTTATGTCTAGCATGAACGAAACTAATCAAAGGTATCAAGCAATACACTTTAGTAAAACCACTTAAGTATCAAAACGATACAAAAAACAAAACATAAAACAAAACCAAGTATCAAATGATACTTTAAACAAACTAAGTAGTAAATGATACTTTAAACA